CAGATTGTACCACAGTTTTTGTGAAAAATTTGATTCAGACAAGAGTTAAGGCTATTAAGAATATTTGTTGTTATGTGATCTGCCATTTTACTGAGGTTCATATGGATTTATATCATAGTTATTGGTTAGTTTTCCCAAAGAATCATGAGATACAGTCAATACTATCTTAGGATAATGTGAAAATTTGCGAAACAAGTAGTTCTTGAAATGCAGTATACTGTCATGTTCTTGTGTAGAAAGAATTATCTCAATCTTGGAACCAATCAGGTGTTGGTCTGTTGGAGATAAGCCTCTGGGAGCAACAGGGGGAATGGCTGCCATGGAATTACAACTTCTGGGTCTATCATGTGAAGCCATGGGGCCAAAAAAACCTTTTCCCATTGACTTATATAGTGAAAGAGTTGTCTGTAAATCTGGGTTTAATTATTTATGAGTGTCACAACCTCAGTGAAATGTCTTTCACTATCGAAATTTGATCCATTCAGTCTATTATGCGTCTAGTCTATAAAAGCCACACGATTAAATCATTTTATCCCATTCAAGCTAGCAGAGGGCTAAACCGTAAGTTAGCCAGCTGGGCCGGCAGAAGTCTCTGGTGTGTTTGCTCCATGGGCCATCGATGCAGAATATTCGGGTGACTTTATACCCGGGAAGTCAAACTTTTTTGGCTTCATGCGCCACTGGGCAACTTTCCTGAATGAATGGAGATCCACTTCCAATGTTGTATGCATTTTTCTTTATATATCCATGGAGATCTTGTGTAGCCAGCGGATATCCAGGTCAAGACTTCCTCTTCCGTGTGCAGGTCATTTTGGCTACCCAGAGGAAAATTTTGCCGCTCACAGTCCTCTTGTCATTGTCTCATCAGAAATAAATTAGCTTCTTATTTGGAGATTACTAACTCCTGATCTGTTTCTCCTAAACCACCTTTAAGAAAAATAAGGAGCAAAAGAATAAAGCAGCAGGAGTTCTTTAGCTGTGCTAATAGGCTTCTCGGAGGATTCACAACCCTGAGAAGAGATAAAATACACAGAGTTGAAACCTGAATTTGATCACTGAGATAAATTTATTTATAAGCCAATAAAGTTCTCCTTTTGGATCTTACTGTTATCTAAAGAGCTGACTATTTCAGACAAATGAAAAAGATCACTGCAGTGAGAGAGGAAAAAAAGGATTTTAAGTTCTTAAATTAGGAATGGGATGAGACAGAGGAAGGCTATTTCTCAGGAGCTTGAATTTAATAAGTATGTAAAATCAAAAATGGTCAAAATCTCATATTGATGTTATATTGAGCTCAGTTATGTCTAGGAGAAATAGGCTCCTAGACATAACTGTGATAAATCCTTAACACAACTGTATATGAATGCAGACACATTTTTTAAAATAAAGTTAAAAGAAAGTTAAATTGTCATTGGACAATACCCGAAGGGTTCCAAGATTGCATTTCAACCAATGCGCTCATCCTCCCCACACTGTTTACTCTTTACTTTACAATTCAAATGCTATTGGTCAATGTTACTCAGATTACAAATGAAAACCCATCACTTCCGATACCAAAATCTTGCATATGCACGAATCTGTTTATGAGATGAGAGACATATAAAATTGTGGAGTGGATAAATATTTTACCTGCGTTTTGGACTGTTCAAATGCGTGTAAAGGTACCCAGCAGTTAGGAAATAGTATCTGCACACTGCATATCATACACTTAAATCATTGTTTCATCCAACAGTACCCAGGATTCTGAAATCCACCTTTTGGGAGAAGCAAAGAGGTGTCGTGCTGAGCTGGAGAGGCTGCAGGCTGAGGTGGAGAGAACAGAGGAGCAGAGCACCTCTAAGGAGCCTGAAAGTGAGGTCAATGAACTGAGGCAACAGCTCCTCCAGGCATACAATGAACTGAGAGCTACAGAGGACAGAGAGTACAAGACACAGCACCAACTGAGATGGTGAGCTGTATATACAGTGTGTGTGTGTGTGTGTGTGTATATATATATATATATATATATATATATATATATACATGCACACATTACTGCAGTCACTCATGCTGCAAGTTTAATTTTCAGTCAGATATGAGTCAAATGAAATTGACGGCTGATTCTAAAATATATATCTATTACAAAGTTCAGCTCCGTCTCACAAACATAGATGATTCACACCTCTGACAGAAGCACAGAGACGGAGGAGAGTAAAGGCAAAACAAAGAAGTGAAACTGTGTGTGGGGTAAAGGGAAGTTATGTACAGTAGAGAGCATATGCATGCATGGACACACACGCACAGTAAGTTACTAGGGACCAAACACTGAGGTGAGCTAAAGGAGGCAGCAACTTCCTTTTGATGGAAATGAGGGTGAAGAGTAAAAGACACACAAATAATATTGGTACTGTGTGTGCATTTTTTCTGTATCACTGTAACTGTTAATTGTTTAGCCATAATGCTGAAGGATTTATAGGTAAACACTTTTGTCCGACCTATTTGACATTTCCGCCATGCTTATTTTATGTACCGTGTTGCTTTGCTAGCACCATTGGTGGGCTGAATTACCAGCACGGAAGCTAAATGTCGAATGCTGTGGATGGGGCTGCAGCAAGATGTATTTTAGCCACCTAAAAAGACCCATCTAAATAAAAATCAATATCAGTTTCAGCTTTTTATCATTCCTTTTATACATCATATGGTCATGCATATACAAAACTTGGAAAAAGAAAAGAAAAGAAACAACAAAAAAGCAATATCTCAGATGAACTATTCACAAATGTTGATAGATTATCTCAATAAAGAGCTTGTATTCCCCCCTTCTTCCGGGCTTTTTCCAGATAACTGGGTAATTTACATGTGAATAGCCACCTCAGTCGTTGTGCATCCTCCATATTTACAAAACCTATATCTAGTTTTTTGTCTTGCTAAAAAGCAATATGCAGTTCACAATAAAAAAGGATGGCAGAAAACAAAATAGAACTCATTTTCTGTATCGTTCAGACAGCACACTGGACAGATCCAATTTTCTCCTTCTCGATTACCATACCATCCAGTTTCAGCAGTCACAAGTGAAATACCAGATCTCAGCTGAGCACACAGATGTCTTTGCTTTTTAGGCAAGTTATATACAACACAATTCTCCTTCCCATATAAGTTTTTATCATTGAAATATACACAGTTTTGGTTTGTTATAAGAAGAATGATGCTGTTTCTGCAGGGGTGAATTTTATTCCCTTTGCCTTAAATGTTGTGTCTCTTAAGTAGCCACATTTTTCAAAGATTTATGTCATGGGTAAAACTGGATGTACACAATTCATGATACAAATACAGAGTTTAAGTGGATTTTCTTTGCTCTGGATGTCACTTGTTTACTTGTCTGAGCTCTCTGCACTGGTTAGTTTTTTGACGTCAGCTCTGGACTCGGTTTCTGTTCCCCTCCTCTAATCCGTTCCTATCGCTCCCATGAGTCTCTTTTCTCATCACAACCAATTTTTCTCTTTTCTGCTGCAGGTTTCTCTTTTCCTTCCCCCCAACTCACTCAACACCAACACCAGTGTGTCCAAAGGGTCAAACACACCCACAGACATGGAAAATAACTCGAGTATCTCCCTCTTTTTCTGTACACAAACTCGACGTTTAAAGGGCCAAAGGGAGGTTACTGGGATATTGCTAAGCAACATGATAACATGCAGCAGTGGTTCCCAAACATTTTGGCTTCTGACCCTTGAAAACAAAGCAACATTTACTTGTGATCCCTCGTTAAAGGTTGCATGTGTCACAGAACATTCTTTCCCTCTTGGATCGAATCATTTTTTAGAGGCCAGTAAACACTATAAAAGGCATTATTTTCTGAATCTTAGTGTGCTTAACATGCTAAAAAAAATTGTAAGTACAAAGGCCGAAACATGTAAAAACCTCCTTTTGTGTGTGTGTGTGTGTGTGTGTGTGTGTGTGTTAGATTTTAAACGGGAGTTGCAAATTGAAGCACTCAAAGTAGTCAGTGGAGCTGTCATGTAAAGAGATGAAAGCTGAAGTTGAACTGTAAATGATGAAAGCAACTGAAATTTCAGCTGAGCGCCAATAGGCAAGTTTTTACAGTAGGCCCTGCAGGCAGTCAGATTGTCAGCTTATATGTTTGAAATGAAAGTATTCACTGTAAACTATGAAAGCAGTTGAAATCGAAGCACCCGAGAGTTTCGTGCTGCGCAGTGTAAATAGTTAAACGATGAAATGAAGTGTGTGACAGGGTTTTTCCTGCAGTGACTATGCACTGATTTCTTATGAACTGTGCTTGAGACACTTGTGGTCGTGTACCCCCTCAGCGCTCAGGTCAGATCCGGGCTTTAAAAAAAGGTAAATGTCTGGCACCTGACCGCAGGTGCCAGACGTTAAGCAGCAGGCATCCAAGAGACAGTGCAGAAAAAAAACACAATAGAAAGGCAAAACACCAAACAAATGGCTTTAACTTTCACTTTCGCTACTAACAGTAACCAGCGATCGCGCATAGTATACCTTAAAAGTGTCAGTTTGTGTGTCAACAATGACAGCAGGTGAAATATCTCTTGGGGTATGTGAGCTCTCAGGTTAAAAGTAACATTGAATTGTCACTGTCTGTTGATGTGGAGAGGATGAAAGTAGCTGAAGGGTCAGCCATAAAATCACTTCAGTTATCAATTTTGAAGGGCCGTCCTCTCGCTCACCCTCTCTCTTCCACCTTCCTGTCCATCTCTGGCTGTCCTTTCACTTTAAAAAAGGGCACCCCCCCCAATCCCCTAAAAAATCTTAGATTATCAGTTTTGAAATTGTTTTTATGGTGGGGCGTTGTTGGCTTAGTGGATAGAGCAGGCGCCCCATGCACAAGGCTGTTGCAGCAGCGGCCCGGGTTCGACTCCAGCCTGTGGCCCTTTGCTGCATGAAATCATATCAGAAGCATTGTGTTCACACTCTGGTTGCCCCCTGGTTAACACCGTTAGCGCTGTCAGCACTTTTGCCATTGTTTAGCACTGTTAGCTGCTAGCCGCCCTGTTTAGTCCAAGTCCATCATGAGAACTGTGTGCAGACAACTCTGAATTTCTCATACACGCCCTTTAAGCAATTGAAGTGTGAGCTCTGAATTCAACTCACAGATGTATCCCAGAAAGTCAGAGGAAGGAAGAAAAATAAGTTAATCCAACTCTAATATTCTTGATACTCTTTATTTAATCAACAGTCCTTTATTGTTTCAAGCAGATCTAGTTTCTTATCTTCCCCGCATTGCATTTGACCCTGGATTGCTTCAGCAATATTATTCCACTCACAGCACATAAACTCAGCACTGTATTGCAAAGATATGATCTGTAGGATACAGTGATTTTTAGTGCACAGCGTGCACACCGCGGCAGAGCGTTGAAGGCCCGGCGGTAATTGAAATATTAAATGAAAACCACTTACAGAGCATTCTCAGAGGATGCAGTAACAGACAGGATTAGACAGTGAGCGCGCATATTATTTGTGACAGTGTTTGGTTGTGAGCCTCGCTTGGCCTCATTGTCTCTTTCTCCCTCGCCCCTTCTTTCATCCCCTCCAGTCTAATCTTCCTCCCTCTTCCTGACTTCTCCTCTGTTCTTTCTACCTCCTCCCCTCCTGTCCAAATGGCCAGCGGTCTGCATATGACAAGCAGATGCTCACCATGCAAATATGCCTTTTTCAAATCTTTGCGTCCTTTATCTTTAGCCAAACATACACACAGGAATTGAGCACTTTTTTTCCCCCACAGTCACATATTTTAGCATTCATGCAGCTTTCTCTGTATCAGTTAATATCCAATATATCAGCTTGTCAGGAAGATTAATATCATTTACTTTGTGAAACGTGTAGCTGTACACTATGTGCTAATGTAAGATTTTTCCACAATGACACAGCTGACTCGAAATTGTTTTGTACAAACTTTAATCAACTGCTCAAAAAGCATCTGCCACAGGGGAATGAAAAATTCATAGAAATAATGTTTTTATATGCACATTTATACTGTGTTGGGTGCTTTATTAAGGAGTCTTTGTGTTTATGTATGAGAGTTTGTACATGCTGGTTCTCTTTATATAATATGTGTCGAAGGTAAAGCACATCAGGGTTTTTCTTATTCACTCACTAGATGGGTTTTATAGCAACCTATTCCAAACTCTTGACACCCACACCTTTCTTTGTTTTTTGGTGTTTTCTCTTTCAAGTAAGAGGAATTGAGTATTAGTTTCGGTTAACTGGAAACTGCACATTAGTGTATTTTTAAAAATGTAAATACCCGTTCCACTCATTGCACTGCTCTTTCTGTTTAACCAGGAACTGAAACATGTTGTTTGTCTCTCTTAATAACACATTTTGTTCTTTTTTTTTCACATTTTCTCCTCACCTTACCTCACCTCACTTTACCTCGCCCCGATGCAGTCTCTGGGAAGAGAAGCAGTATCTGGAGAAAGAGAATGAGATTCATCCGAAACCTGCTGTAAGTTCATCATTGCACCATCCAGGTGCAGTTTCAGAGACGTGGATTACTCCCGCAACAAGGGTCTTCCGAGAGGATGAATATGAGTTTTACTTTAAGCCTCCATCCAGGTTTAATCCCTCGGTATGAAGACTTGCAACTGGCTCTTTTTGGGGGCCATTTGAAGCCAAAAGATTTGATATTACGATCGTACTGTTTGGACAAAGTGACAGCATACAAGTTGAAAAAGTTTTAATCCTTGTTACAAATGCAGAAAGGTTTTTCACCTTTGTTTAAGCAGGAATATTAAGGTAGAAATGCCCGCTAATCCTCCACAAAGATAGACTGGTAGAGCAACAAACAAAACAACAAATGAAAACATATATATTATTTCAAAGGAAAAACAAATATATACTAAAATATACAGACATCAGAACTAAAAATAAGTTGGTCTTTGGACAGTTCTGATAGCACACTCACCTCCTGAATGAATCTGCTCCGAATCCAACTAAAGAATGCAGTGTATAGAGTGGTGCAGGGATGAGTTTTCTGGAGGCCAACCCAGAAGTCAACATCATGCCAATGGGATTTTGCCATTGCATTTTGGATTATGGCAGAAAATAAGCTCTGTGGCAAATAAGAGTTTATGATACTTAAATGTTTTGTTCAGCAAGACAATCTCCACAAATAAACACCACTATTATGATTTTTGGAGCATTAATGCAATTGCCAGAAGTAAAAAGCTAACATTAGAGTTATAAAAGAACTAAAACACAGTCACATGACTTCAAACTGCAGGAAATAGTCAGCGCCAGGATGTTAGGCTAGCCTGGAAAACACTCACACCATAGCAGCATCAGTGTCAATACTTGTCTACACATTAACAGTGAGATGGTTCATTCTTTCGTTCACTTTCCGTAACTGCTTATCCTGTTTGGGGTCGCGGTGGAGGGGGTTAGGGGGCTGGAGCCTATCCCAGCTGACATTGGGCTAGAGGCAGGGCACATCCTGGACAGGTCGCCAGACTATCACAGGGCTGACACATAGAGACAGACAACCATTCATGCTTTTCAATTTAGAGTCACCAATTAACCTGCATGTCTTTGGACTGTGGGAGGAAGCTGGAGTACCTGGAGAAAACCCCACGCTGACATGGGGAGAACATGTAAACTCCATACAGAGGGGCCTGGGAAAACAATTTCATCCTTGAAAGAAAAAAATAGTGATTAAAAACCTGCATGGAAGTCTTTAAATTTGGCTTCCCCCTGTCAGCACAACCTTGGTAAAAAATAATAACACTTCTTTAATCTTATCATCTTGATGCTGTGTGATTTCTACACCACAGTATTTTGTAGTACGCTGTAGGGCACACATATTGTCGACCACAGTGTAGTGCAGTTTGAGCATGGGCATGAAAATCTATAGTAATTCTTGAATCACCAGCACCAAAACTCAGCAATTGTGTTGACGAAAATCAAGAATATTAACGTGCCCTCAGGGTAGTCTCGAGGAGTATCACATTCACAATCCTCCCATCATCAAGCTTGATCAAAATACAGTCGGCTATGCTGCTAATGGCAAAAGAACATTAGATTCTGAGCTTTGTGGAGCTTGTTGAATAAATTCAGCAGCTTTAATTAAATTTTGGGTTTCTGTTATGCATCTGCTGTTCAATTACTGATCGCAATAACAAAACATTCCAAATGCTTTCAGCTCTGCTTTCATGCCTCTGGGTGGTGTCTTTTCCATAGCGTATATAAAAACTCCAGTGCCCATGAGTCAAGGTGGCTCACCCATAACCTTCAACAGATCAAACAAACATGAAAAAAGAAATATTAAGAAATGAAGCTGAATTACAATCAAGGCCGCAACTTACCCAATTTATCCTGGAGATGGCCATGTGTCCTTGTGTTGTGTTGCATTAAAAGTTAACTTTGAAAAGAGGATTTACATCAACAGAATACATCTAGAACCACTGACACATGCTGGTTTGCTGCTCTACAGTGAGCCAGTATTGCAGTGGAGCAGTTGCACCATTTTGACTGCTCTGCATGAATTATTGAGGGGCAGTATTAAGTGGACAAAAGCATTGCCCCAGGACTAATAAACTATTCTTAAAATGTACAGCATCAGAGGTGTGTGTTTAAATAGTGTTCATACAAGTCATCTGAGTAGTTATGTTTTTAAAACCGTTTTTAATAGTTTAATTTTAGAAATGCATTCGTAGTTTTTTTGTATTTGTTTTTATTGTGCGTAATTGACTAGTTTTAATTCAGTTTTTATTTAGTTTTAGTGTTTCAAGTATTAAGAGGAAAGCCTTGATTAATAGTAGCTTTCTATCCGCAGCTTTTGCCATTTGCAGAAAATCTTGCAAACCAAGCATTTTCTTGCTGTATTGTCTTCTTCTTTAGGATTTTACGGTTGCTGACATTTTGTAACTACAGCAGAATTCTATTTACTTGTAGTTTTGTGTGGAATTGTTCATTGTAGTTTTTTAAACTGGCATTTTTGTTTTTATTTTTGTTAAGGAAATTGTTTTTCATCTGCTAGTTTTAATTTTGTTGGGCGGCGTGGTGGTATAGTGGTTATCACTGTCGCCTCACAGCAAGAGGGTTCCTGGTTTAATCCCAGGAGGGAGCCCCTCTATGCGAAGTTTGCATGGGTTTTCTGGGGGTACTCCAGCTTCCTCCCACAGTCCAAAGACATGCAGGTTAACTGGTGACTCTAAATTGTTCGTAGGTGTGAATGTGAGCGTGAATGGTTGTCCTTTTTTATGTGTTAGCCCTGCGATAGTCTGGCAACCTGTCCAGGGTGTACCCCGCCTCTCGCCCAGTGTCAGCTGGGATAGGCTCCAGCCTCCCTGCGACCCTCAAGAGGATAAGCAGTTATGAAAATGGATGGATGAATGGATGGATAGTTTTAATTTTACTTTGAGTTTTCATTAATTATAGTAGGTAATTAAGATGGACGACATGACAGTTGACATGACACCAAAAGTGCAGCCAAATCATTTCGGCCTCTGGTGTCTGGCTGCAGTCTAGTCTGAGTGGGCGGAAGTTAGCTGCATAGATCAGCATCTCATTGGGCGGAAAGAGCCACCCGCTGAAGTCCCACCCTACCACCTCCGGTTGTGTAGCAGTTTTCAACCGTTTTCAACACGTCCTTTACTAACTTTTGTGGTGTTTGATCTTGCGGGGATGTAGCCATTTTTCTGCCATGGTTCGCATCCTGTAGGCGATATTTTTGTGGGCATGTTACACCAAAACCTGTTTCCCCCAGGCAATATTTTTGCAAGCGCACCGTTGCTGTGGCACCACCCAGAACGATTGTGATTGGTTGAAAGAAATACAAGCAGCCGGGGAGTTTTTTTCTCCAATCTTAAAGTGAGAGTTGGCCCAGCCAGACCTTTGTTTTCTTGAGAAAGGTCTGGTGAGCGAGACTAGCTGCAGTCTAGAGAATAAGCCCCCTTCGTCTTAGCAGATGGGACATGGGCCAAACTAAAAACTCAAAGACAGTTTCTGCCATTTTAGGTAGCTTTTATCACACTGATGTATGTTCAAGTGGTCGTTTTTCCGTTAAGTTCGGTTTAAATCAGTTATTCGATGCTACAAAAAGGGAGTTCGACGTCATGATTGACAGCTGTGTGTGCCAATCGGCTTGTTATTGGTCCGACGGAGGGGTTGTGCACACACAGGCTCTAAATGATGTCACCAGCACAAAATGGCACCGGCCGTATCCAGGATATATTGGCTTAATTTTTGTGTAGCAGGAGGAAGTGGAGATGTGTTGTCTATCTTTATATACAGTCATTGAAATAACCCTGCAAGTAACACCTTCCTTTGTCTGTGTGAATGACAGAAGCTGCCTTTACTAAAACAGTTTCAGCCATTTAATCTGTTCATGTAACAGCGTATATGTGTAAAGGTCGGGGCCTTGTTAATGAGATTTTCCCCCAGTGTTATTGAAACAATATGCCGTATTGACCTACAACATTAAGTTTGACATTAACTCTAATGAAATAATTTGCCGCCATCACACACAAACACACACTTGTCAAACATGATAGATAAGCTATGTGTTTCGTTACAGAGTCCTCGCATACATTTTTAATTGTTTTGCTGTTTGTGCAGTAGATGTATACTGGAGGAAAACCACAAACGGGCTTTCAAGTACATGAAGTTCATCATGTTAAATTTATTACAGCTGATTTAGTTGCAGTTGTTTGTGTTCATTCTCAGGCAAACAAAACTGACTCGATGTAATCCAACAGTTATCAGCATTGTTAAGTGTCATACCTATTTTTTTTTTTTGGGCAGGAAAATTAGGATTTAGGCATGAAACTAGAACTAGAACCACTGAAACAACCAAAGGAACGACAGTTTTAAGTGCTACAAAAACAAAAATCCATGTACAAAGCAAAGGCTGTTAGAGCTCACTCTGAGTGCTGGGATCAAATGCTAAGAAATAAGTAAAAAGAATTGGTATTTTGCCTGTAACCAGAGCTCAATTACTTTGTCATCATAGACCTGATATTCTCAATATGTGATCTCATGTTCAGGAGCTGGAGAGCAGAACAAAGGCCCTGCAGGACAAACATGAGGATCTGAGGAAAGAGGTTTCCCAGAGACAACTGGAAGTCAGGTATTTGATCGAGAGAGAGAGAGAGAGAGAGAGAGAGAGAGAGGAGAGAGAGAGAGACTCACTGTGTGGGCCTCGTCATGACATTGTCTTCTTCTTTATGTCTTTTCAGTTTCACTTGGTGTGCTCTTATTGTCTGCTTTAATCAGATGCAGTGCAGCTGAATCTTTTAAGTGCGGTTAATCAAAAATTCTTCAGATAATAGGCGTGCTTTTTGTGTGTGCATCTTGCCCTCACTCCCCACACAGAAGTCTGACAGAAGATGTGGAATTGCATGAAACGCAGATATTGAAAGAGCGGAAAGAGCTGGAAGACAAGTCGGAGATCATAGAGCTCAAAGAGGTCTGTGTGTGTGAGAGCATGTGTGTGTGTGTGAGTGGGCATCGCTTACAGCACACCATCAATAAAATAACAAATCTGCCTTCTTGCATTTGTGTGTGTGTGTGTGTGTGTGTGTGTGTGTGTGTGTGTGTGTGTGTCTAACAAGGCCGAGAAAGCCCAACTCATCAGCGTCCCTGACCAGATTTTCAAGGAGAGTGAGAGGAAACGCTCTAAGAGGGAGTAAGTACATGTAGCCCCTTATTATTCTTTATTGTGGAAGAGCTACAGAGTTAATGTTTCAAACATGAGGACAAAAAATGAGCCTGTAAGGGTGCTTCACTGAGAGAACACTGAGAAGAAAAGAGAGCAGAAACATCTTTTGAAAATTAAGTCACTCCCTGTCAGTTGGCTCAAATCCTTCTGTAATCTGTCTCCTTCCCTTCATCTTTATCTCCCATACACGAAAGAGCTGAATTTAAATGGATGAACTCAGTTACTGTAGTTTTCCTAAAGGAGGGAGTGTGTGCAGTGTAAACTTTTGATATGGAGCAGAAAAACAAACTTAATCTGAATATACTGTGTGTTTCTTAATTCAGTTTACTGCCAGAAACATCTGTTGCCAGATTTGTTTTTCACTTTCCTCTCTGTAACTTTCCAGGCACATTTTGGTCCAAATGAGTAAATGGAAAAAGTAGGTACTATTTGTAGCAATTGCAGACTATTTGAAATAATGGACGTAGCTGCTGTGACATCACCCATTGGTTTGTGGACTCCTGTTTTGAACCCATGAGTCTGGCATTTTGACCGTCACTCTTGTATTTTTGGAGCCAAAGGTGACAATTTTTGTCCGAGACGGTGGAGCTAGCCCTAAAGCTAGCTGCTAATTTGGTTAGCACAGTGTATTTACATGCTGTGTCTCAAATCGCGTACTTCTGTACTTACACTTAATATTTTGAGTGCATAAGTGCGTTCACACTGAGAAGTATGAAAAAATGCAGTGCACTATGAATACCCGGATGGTGCACTTAAAACGGTCAAGAAGTTGAGTGTGGAACTATGGGCACTTCTCGCCCTCAATGGTCGCCATCTTGGCTAAGTAGCGGAAGGGGAGGGACCACTTTTCAAACTGGAAATGGCAGCCGAGGACCATGAACATCGCTGCATTGTACACATATGCATGTGTTTTTTGCACTAAGCACCACTATATTGTTGTCGGATATGAGCCAGCAGTATGTTTATTAGGTTAATTTAGCACTCTGTAATGATTTGGCACAGCGAACGATAACGATAACGCGAATGCTAATGCTAATTTGCTAACTAGCTAACAGCTGCGGTCGTCATTTATGGTAAGTGCACAACGGGCGTGTTTGGTTTGAGACAACACTACCCTGTCGCGCATTACCCCAATAAGTACATAGTGCACATAGTATACTACATGGAAGTGTACTAAAGGAAGTACACGATTTGAGACACAGCAACAGTCTGTGGTTAACTGTGATTATGCTAATGCTAATTTTCGCAAGCTAAAAACAGGCTTAAAAACATTTAAACGAAATGTACTTATCAGGAAACCAAAATATCCAACTCCTGAGAGGGTTTTAGTACAAACTAACACTTTTAGGCCACCTAAACGTTGCGATTAACTTTAATGAAGTGGAAACACACTGGCTACGGCAAAACGAATTCAGGTTACACCATGGGTACATAACCTAATCAGCGTTGTCGGCGTGGCATTTAAATGGGTGCTTTTTATAAAAATTCACCCCCATTACAGCTGTCACAAATGAGAAATTTAGCTATAGAGAGCAAAACCATTTTTAGTACCAGGCTATAAACATGTTAATTTCTCCTGTAAAGTTCTGACTGACTTTTGGAGCCAGCCTCAAGTGGCTGTTCGAGGAACTGCAGTTTTTGTCACTTCTGCTTTGGCTCCATTTTTCAATAGTGGAGGTTGCTGCTTGTTAGCAACAGTCAGATCCCTCTTAATAATTTAAAGGTTTCAGTCCCTCTAATTAAAAAACACATGACAATATATGAGTCAGACATCATTAATTTTTGTATTCATGTGCTGCTGCAGTCTTAGCCCCCCCATCACCAGAGAATGGTTCCACTGGCACTGCAGTCTCTTTTATGTTTATTTCAAATTCATATTTGGCTTGAAAGTGAAGCAGTGGAGCTGTCTGTATGAGTCATGTGAACTGTGACTTGTAATTTGAAATTCACAAAGCTGAGGGGTACGGGGGGGGGGGAGTAAAACAGATACTTTTCTCTTGTCTCTCTTTAAATTCTCTGTCACATTAGAGCTGCAATAAAGAAGATAGAAGCACTAAATACAGAGATTTCTGAAATGGAGCAGCAAGTGAAGGAAGTGGACGAGCGAAATCACTCCCTGAGGCTGAAGAAGAAGGAGTTGAATGAGGAGCTGGAGGGTCTCAGGGCCTGTGTAGAGGCCAGTCAGAGGCAGTCCAGAAAGCTGCTAAAAGAGCAGGAGGTCAACAGGGAGGAGGAGGCTGAATTCATGGGGAACAGGTACACACTTTTTATACAGTGACAGTCAAAAACAGTGAGTTTTAGAGTTGGGAGGAGAGGCTGTTGTTCGTGGGTTTCATGCATGTCGTGTGTTTTTCATCATCAGAGGTATCCTGGAAATGAAGCTGCAGAACATCATGTGTGACAGGAAGCACCTGTATGAGAGTCAATGTGTGCAGCTCAGGGAGAAAAACAGGTACAGATTGATGTCGAAACGGGCTCCATCGCACGTATGAATGTGTCCCCATGAATTGATGCACAACACTGTACATGTAAAGGCTTTTGCACGTACTATACACCTAAAATATACAGTAAACGTTCTCAAGATCACAACTTATTTGTCATGTCAAAATAACAGACATTTTCATGAGATAATGGGATAATTTTCTTGATCTTAAGAGCAAAACTTTGTTCTCTTGAGAAGTATTTGAGATCACAAACAATGTAAATTAAACGTAAATTAAACATCATGGGCCTGTGCCATTGTGTGCCGAGATTGCACCACACTTTAAAAGCATTCCGACAACTCATGGATTACTTGAACACTCAAGTAGATGGCTAGTGTGTATATTATGTGCAGGAGCAAGGCGTAAAGCAAGTTTAGCCCGTGGCCTTGAGTGAAGAGAAATATGATGCAATGATAAATATGCTCTTGTCCATCTGACATTGCTACACAGAATGCAATGGTAGTGCAATGATTTAGGCCTTATATGGCCGAGACGACTACTGCCCTTTTCACCCTGCGCTCAGCCTGGGGCTAAGGGAGTTGATATCCTGGAGCTAAGATAGCTTTCACAAAGTTGGCTAACCCTGACCTTTAGCCTAGTGCTTGCTGCCCCAGTTCTAAAACAGGATTAGCCCCAAGTTGGAGGAGTCATCCCCTGAAAATCAACTAAACACAGGGACAAAAGTTGCCGGTGTGTAAAGGAGCTAATTGAATTTGATTCATTTGCGTTTTTGTTGACTTCTTCAGCTTTTCAGTCTTTCCTTTCTGCACTGTTCCCTCTCATTTTGATGTTTGAGCACTGCTCTTACATAAAGCCCTGCTCATGGTGACATTTTAACATTGCTGCTTGCTGTTAAACAGTCACCTGTTAATATATAATGTACACAGTCATATTCCAACGAGAATGTAGCAGAGGGCTAGCAGAAGTTCATTATCAGCTGTATAGCCCTGGGCTTAGGTTAACCTCATCTGAAAAGGTGCTAAGAATATGCAGTGTGAGAAACCTATATATTGTGCTGTCACTGGGGAAATAAAAGAGCATTTTATTCCAAGATAATGATATATAGAACTTGTGATCTCGAGAAAACAAACAAACTGAAGTAGTTGTCATGGGAAAACAGAGAAAATAATATGTTTGACTCCATATATTCATATATTTGACATTCAGTCGAAGAGTTTTTGCTTTTTGTTTTATCAGCTTGTTGCTGTACTTTTCGGTATGAACATGGATATTTTTTTTCCTGTGAATAGTCAGTATATAATTTTCAAACAGTTTTAGACATTTTACATAAATTTGAATAGTTAAGAGCATTTCTTCAGCTGAGCTCCGCGACTGAACACCTGCATATTTGACAGGAATCCACATATAATGAACCTGATTTTTCAGTTGTCTCATTTTATGTGGGAGTCGCAGCCCTATGAAATGATAATACATATTGAAAAGGTGACTGTGTTTCTCCTCAGGCAGATGCAAGCCCTCAAGAGGATGGAGCATGCGTTGGCCATGGCCACTGAACAGCTAGAGCACACGCAATATATCTACAAGGAGTTAGAGGCACAGGTGACCTGCAGATTATTACTTTCAGAGGTCTGGCTTTTTATTTTTTCTAGCACCTGAAAGTGTCTGTTATTTTTCCCCGAAATGACTCAGACTTTTTGTACGTGCAGGACCTCTAATTGCAGCTTGTAAGTATTCAGATTTTCCCAGTAAACCTTGCACCCCTCATGGTTTGCAATATTATGTTTTAGCGGCACTAGCAATTGGTCAGGGGGAAAATTGGCTTAAAAAGAGGCTGAACACACAGATGTGGGAAAATGTCACGGTGCCAGTAATCACCACATTAAACCGTTATTCTGCATTACACAAGAAGCAGGGTTTTTTTTAATTCTTCTGCTTCCTGCAATTTCACTGATGTTCACAGTTTTCAAAGTGAGATGAGAAAAGAAGAGAGGGAGAGTCACGGGAAATGCATCAGCACATCTCACCAGCACATAATAGTATGAAAGGAAGTCACAATGACACATCAGGGAATTGACGCATTGTGGAAATATTGAAAACAAAGCAGTTGTACAACATGATTCATTTGTTTCCGCTCATCTGCCAATCAATAACGACTCTCACATGAACAATAACTCATAAATTAATTTGACTGTGAAGGCTGTTTAGACAAGGATTTGGACAGTCTGCGGATTTACCACAAAAATGCGTCACGATAGTCTCTAATAGGACGTGATTAATGGCTTTGATATTTACACATTGTTTGTTGTCGGCTTTACACAGCATGAGGCCTAATTTTGAAATAAAATAGTGATAGTAATTATAATAATTATAACTTTAATTATATTACACCTTTAAAAACAGAGTTTATGAAGTGCTTTGACAGACAAAGCAAAAGCAGAAACAGGATACTCAGAAGGCAATATCACAACAAAAACCTTAACAGTCCTACCAAAACATAAGAGAGACGAAATTAAGGTGAAGTTAAAGCAAGAAGACAAAAATGCATTATGCAAAATGTAAATATAAATACAATTATAAGCAATAAAAAGAGGAAATATAAAGAAATTTAAAGGCAACATCACATTAAAGAAGTTGTAAAAATGGGTTTACTGCTTCATGTTTGCAGCTGAAACACAAATTGCGGCGTAATCCTTTTTTAAAACTCTCACACCAACTAATTTAGTCTTCTTCTTCTTCTTCTTCTAGAGATTAACAATTTTTAAATATGAAGTGGTGTAGTTCACACTCAACATGAGGCCTGGCAACCCTGCAGAGAGGGGCAATCTCATCGCCTAAAGGCATTCATTTTTCATTAGTTCCAGGGAAACACTTTCAGTGTCACTGGATCTAACAGCGATCAGAGAGGCCTCTGGGAAACTCTGATATATAGTATTAATCATTTTGCAATTAATGTTTAATATGAATATGCAGGGACTGAATTTGATTTGAAGTTCGGTCATTTCATATTGGATCCTCATGGTCTCGCAATCCTCGGTATGTAAAGTCTAATGGACTACAGCCAGGGAGAGACATAATGATACATTTTTACAGCTTTTTACCACGATTCAAGGCTGATATCCAGCTGTATGATGTAAGATCAGCTCGCACACTGAAAATTTGAACAGACCTTCGACTTTGACTTTACATTCTGACTTGAATTTCCAGTTAGATGCTATTCCTAATCGAGAGGCCAGTACTCAGCAGAAGACGGAGCTTCAGAAAGAGGTGGACGCTCTCAAAGTCAGCTTTGAAAAACAGGTGGGAACAATGTGTGCGAGCAGATGAAAAATGTAATGCAATTTACTGCAGTAGCCCTCGAACAAATCTATCTTCATCGAGCCTATAAGTTTGATAGCAAAATGTTGACTCAACTATATGTTAGTTTAAATATATGTATGTCTCTACCTTTTCTAAGCTAATGCTATTTTTATGTTAAAGTGGAAACAGACAACCCAACTCATGTCATTATTGGTGCTGCCATCACAAAGACAACTAGATTGCTTTCCACATCCTCAGAGCTTAGCAACTACCAGTGCCACAGAACACATGAGATTTTGTTTTCCAAAGTTAGTTCGGTTGGTACACCGTCCGCTGTTTCCACTACGGCCGATAGTATTTGCAAAGAGCTAACATTGAAACTCTTTAGTAACTGGGGATAGCTACGGGGGAAACAAAGCGCTATCCCTTTCCTGTTTTGTTTGCACAAAGGTTGACGCACTTCCTATGTGCATGCTAACGATCTTCATTGTCCTGGGAGATCGTACCCAGTGGTAGACAGAATTGCATTGTGAAAGCAATGCTAAAAGGGAATCAACATTTACTTCATAATGACAAGTTAAAGCAAAAAATGTGTCTGTTTCCACTTTAAGTTCCTTTGATATTTTTCATTTTCTAGCATTATCTTCAGAGTTAGAAGGAAAAATGTGATTTCCTATGCATTTTTATCTCATCCTATGTCATGTAGTTAGGCAAAACTTTAACGATCCCTTTAGGGAAGGTCTGAAGTTCACACAGAAAAGTTTCAATATCCATCTTCCTTGTATTTAGGGACTTTTAGTCCACTCTGCCATCCCATTCTGCTGTCAGTAACCCTTCAATTGCAGCAGAATGGTGAGATTTTTCAACTGAAAACGACACCTAATGTGTTCCCGACCAGCTATCGGTGGCTGGGGAGGAGAGCCAGAGGATGCAACAGTACGGGATGATTCAGGAGCTGCTGAGGGAGTCGAACAGCCTCCGGGAAGAACTCCATAACCTCAGGTGTCTGACACAGATCAAAGTGGAGGAGAGGGGCCAGAAGCACCGTGAACTGCTTCGGGCTGAGGTGCAGGAAAAACACACACAGATTCATGCGAACACATACAAACATATATTCAAAATACAATTTCTGGAAACATAAGACATGGATATTTCACTAAACATGTCAGAAACATCAAAGAGGAACCTAAAAGTAGGTTTATATTTCAGGCACTCCTCTGTGTGACAGGAGAGCAACCAAAAATGACAAAAACACTATTTCAAAGAGTGCAAGGCTTTACTGCCCTCGCCATATTACTGTCACCGCAATGTGATAGTTTCAGAATGATTTGAAAAAACACACAGGGACTAGGCAATTTTAGATCAGCTAAATTGAAGATGGAGCATAAGAGGGACATTTTTTGGCAGAAATTGCTTTTATAAATGGTTCTGGATTCTCTTTTCATGTTGGCTCCACTCAGTTCTCCCTATCTAATGAAATCAAAAGTAACTGCTTTTCTAATACAAAATCACCTGCGACCACAGATTCGAGGAGTCTCCCACTTGATTAATAAGCAATGACGACGACTAGCTCCAAAATTAATTAACAAAATCCAAAAAAAAGGAAAGAAAATCCTAAATCAGAACAGGGTGTCTGCAGATCCAATTTTTTTTTTAAATATAAGGCTTTAAAAATAACTGACTAGCCTTAAATTTGAAATCGTGTGGTCTTAATTGCCACAAAAAAATCTTATTTGATTTATCCATCTTTTAATTTCTTCATTGTCAAAATCAGTCAAGCTCCTCTGGCATTAAAGTCCACATTTGTGATGATATAAATCTTTAAACCGACCACTAAACCTAACACTCTGCTTTTACTTTATACCTACACTTAGCTGTTGGTAAAATGTGAATTAACCTAACTCACTCTATTGACCATAAATGCCACAAAACTTCAATTAATAGCCCAAGCTATTATTTTCTTTAATCACTGAAATCAACAGGCCTTTATTTGGGACAGGCCTTTAATTCCTTTCACATAAAACTGTTGCTCAGCAATCACTCATTTGATCTAACTCTGACAGACGGTGCATCAGAGAGAGAGTTACTGTACCCACTATACTGACACAACACCACTTTATCCTGTTAAAACAATTCTCACAACTTGGATTATTTTTTGTGAAAAACCCTTTTGATTCTCTTGATCTGAGGACCCTTACAGACTAAACGAATATGAATAACTTACAGCGTAATAGAGGAACGGACACATTATTTGTGGTAGCCAACAACCTGGTTTTATACATCCAAAGAACTTCTATAAAAAATGAACTGCATGGCAACCAGACCAGGCCTCTAATTGAGACAGGCCTTTATTTGTCAAATTGTGTAACCACACCAGGCTGGTAAAAGGGACTGAGCATTTAATTGAAGTTTTACGGTACCCTACATAAAACCTACCTCTGCGTGGGACCACATTTATACTTCTTACCTGCAGTACTTGAATAAGAAAACACTGATTTGTCCAAAAATCAGTCTTAAATTTGCCTTAAAAATGTCTTAAAAAGCATTAAACATCAGTGTCTGATACCTGTAGACGCCCTGCAGAACTGCTTGATCAGCTTATCTAGTTAGTTTCTTTTTTATCTAGTCCAAAGAGAAGCTGCTACAACACTGAAAAATGTACACCCACAAATCTGATTTGAAGGCTGATGTTTTTGAGCGCACACACACACACATACACACACAGCTAAACACACCCACACAGAAGTGATGATACTGTAGTTTTTACCTGTGTAACTCTATCCACAGCAGCTGAACCAGCACATCCAGCAGGAGCTCAGAGAAAAAGCCCTGATCATCATGGACCACAACAAGCTGAACACTATACTACAGCGCAGGTGTCACTGTTGTTTTCTCTTATTTCCTAGTCAGCCACCTTTTCATTAAATACCAAGGTGTGTGTCATGATAAAGAGGATTTTGGTTACGGAGAAGCTGCTAAGCTGTTAATAGGTAGTATTAGCATAATCACCTTATTCTCTGTCACTGTCTTCATGTTTCTTGTCTGACAGTCCCTCCTTTTTACTTTCTCTTTGTTGAATGTGGAGATTAAGACTTCACTGCATAATTCAAAATCTTTTAAGTAAATACAGATTGCTTTTTTGGTTACATGCAGGAGCAGGAATGGTGCTCCTCTTTCCAGGGTCAGCCAGTACCTGTAAAATACGTCCATGATTTTAGCTTAAGATCAGTCAGGGCAGCAAATTGAAATTCCGATGTACACAGTATATTGATGTGACTGATAATTGAATCCCTGGTTATTTGTTTGGCTGCTCTGATCTGTGTAACAGCTGGGATCACAATTAATTCAGACATCTGCACATGTTGTCGGGGTAGAAAACCCGAACTTACTAATTGGTCATACTTGAGTGTTCAGACACAGGCTAATGCATCTGGCACCACCCGGTACAACAGCAGACTCTCTCTACATTCAGTTAGTTCACGACCACAGACTGCAGTCTGATGCGGATCTGCCCCGAAAACTGCATCTAGTCGAGCAAAAACAGAGCAGGATGATAATTAAATGTTGTGTGTCCTCTCTGTGTCGTTGTAGTATGAAAAGCATTCTCACATTCAGCAGTCATGGTTCACAACATGCATGTCTTACATGAGTGGTAAATTGAAATTTAATGATATGTTAAACTGCACGGAACTGAAGTTCTGTCAAAACAATTATTTGATTCACTGATCATTTGGGATGAACATGAATATGAATGTTTGTAGTTCACATTTCCCATGTTGATATTAAGTGATCCGACGACGACGCCATGATAACTATGGCAAAAACATTTTTGTCAGTATTGCCAAACTTTATTTCAAGCACACCGAGAGCTAAAGCCAATAACAGCAGGGGCCAGATGCTTAAAACTCTGCGTAGATTCACGACTAAAAATCTGTGCACGTACAAAGTGTTCATGTTCATGCACATTATTCTCGTCAGATGTCAGACTGGGATATCAACAGGTTTTTAAATATGCATGAAATCGCATCGCTGAGCTTTTCGAAAAGGTGGTTTAAGGAATGAAAGAGGGAGGCTTTGTTCACGCAGCTGAAGAAGTCCATCACAGGTGGAAAGCTTAAAAAAAAAATCCCAGCACAAGTGACAGCCGTTTCACTTTTCTATATTTTGACGTGATAACATGTTAGGCCCTGTTAATCGGAGTACACACAACTGCATAGATACAGGAATATTAGAGGTATGTTCATTTCCGTCGGCCGTGTAAACCTAGCCTAGTCGGAATCCAGAATAAGGGCAAAAATCGGAATATTTTGTGCATGCAAGATAGACTGAGAAATATGGCAAAGAGAGTGCAATTTCCCTGACTCTAGCATCAGGGAGGTCCTCCAGCCTCTAGTGGCCATTAAAGGAACTGTAGTTTTTGGAACTTCTGTATTGGCTTCAGTATTCAGCCCCTGAAGTTGCAGCAAAAAGAATGGATGACTGTAAATGATAAAATATTTAAAACTCTGTAGTAGTAGCCAAGTATAGCAAGAATAGGCGCACTGATAATTGTTGTTTTTCCCCTCTTAGAGTTTCACAGTATTGTAATCTGTGCGACATGATTACGAAAGAGAAGGATAAGTACGTCAAACTGAAGCAGATTGCCTCACAGACGATCTCAGAGCTGACGGAGCAGGTTAAGGTGCTGCAAAATGAGATGGAGATCCAACGAACCATTGTCGTCAACAAGGACCGGTGTGTACATGTGTTTTGTGGAGGGAGGTTAGAGGCTTGTCTGTGTGTATGACATGTTGGTACAGTAAGATAATACATACTCATGCAAGAAAGAAGGCATGGACGTTCTATTTATTTGCTGGTAATTGTCAGTGAAGCTATATCTGCATCCCTGTTATTGTGTGGAATATTTCTCATATTTTTCTTTGCATGAGTCTGTGTTTATTTGTGTCCATTCCAGATCAGTCACAAAGGCTTGCATGAAGATCTCTCATAGCTTGAAAACAAGGGACAAACTGTGCAATGACATCTCCAAGGTCCAGGCACACATACACACACACACACACACACACACACACACAAACACAGAGATGAAGCCAGTCAAAACACATTGTGGGAAACACACTGTGTCGCCTCTTTGCCGTCAGCCAGTGTCACAAATTTAGCAGTTTAAATAAACAGATTAAATATGTTATTAAGAATACCATGGCTCAGAGGACCCAGGGTTAAACAAAGACACGGAGTCAAAGCTGTTTTTGAGATATATTGAGTGAGCTCGGCTCTATAGCTGTCTAAAACCAGGGTTAAGAGCCCTTGTAGAAATTTTAAGGAGGCAAACCCCACAGCCATTTTCCCCAGTATTTATCTCTGTGTGTTTAATAAGACTCTTAAACAGTACACCACACACAATGCACAGTTTACAACAGTTTGTGTCATCCACTATAGAAGTTTCTGCTTAGTCACTGTCTGGCACTATCAAGTGGAAGCAATCTACTGCACTTAAAAGCAAAATCACATGAGCCTCTGAGGGGAGTGGTAATATTTTGATTAAAAATAACCTCAGAATTTCCAAGATCAAACTTTTACAATCACAAATTTACGACAAAATAACATGCATATAGTATTATTATTATTATTATTATTATTACATGAGTTAAATAAACACACATGGTATTTTAACAAATGCATTTATTGAGTGTTTGTTTGTGTATTACAGTTTGCTTGAGTCTGATGTTTCGTGGCAGGGACGCTGGGCAAAATGGTGGGGTAGAGGGGTTTTACACACCCAAATATAAACTTAATAAACACTGATAAATATCTGACATAAGTACATTCTTGGTCTATTTGATACAAAGTACAACTCATTATAACTTATTAGTGTATTGTAAAATAAAGTGCAGCTGTGGTGGAGTTTTTTCTCTCAAAAGTTTGTGATCTTAACATCAGAAAGTGTCTGAGTTTTTTCCCTCTAAATTTATGACATTTTAATCACAGAGAATATCAGCTTTTTCTAGCGTTAAATTTACAACTTTAATCTCACAATTCTGAGTTTTTATTGGTATGAAAACTCTCCCCTAGTGCTGTATTTAATTTTTTTAACCTATGCTGCCCTTATACACCATAAAGAGCCCTCTTATGGGTCTAAAAAACATATATCACTATTTTTATAATATCTTCTAGGTTGCCTGGAAGCACCGTCAGATCACACAGGAGTATGAGGACAACAGTCTGGAGTTGATGAAACTCACACAAATGATGAACCTCCAGGAGCAGGCACTTCTGGAAATAAACAAGAGTCATGAAACGGCCATACAGCGCCGCAATTTTCTGTATGTTCATAATTTTGAGCTTACATAATGTTGCTTGAATTCAAGTAGAGGATCTAAACTATTAATGTCAAATATTAATTTGTGTCTTGGTCTGCACGTGTGTGTTGTCACCTACAGTGGCATTCATCTCCTGGAGCATGAGGAAGTGTTATTCAACTACTATGAAAAGGTGAACATCCAGGAGGCGGCCATTTCTAAGGGCAACATGACACTGGAGGCCCTGGAGAAGGAGATGAGCGATTTACAGTTGGAGATTAATGAGAAGAAGAGACAGATAGATCTGAAGAAGAAGGATGTGCCCCTCAAGAGAAAGTTGGAGGGAGAGATCACCATGCTGCAGATAGAGGTGGGAACACCCACACACTCATACACATCCCTACACAGGCAAGTAGCACATAAACTGCTAATGTCAAAACAAAATCATCTCTTGATAGTCGTACTCTGATAGAACAACAGCAAAAAGGGAATTCAACTAAACTTTCAGAACTGCAAACTAATTACCTGAATAAGTCATGTGGGTCGAGAGATGTGCATATGAAAACTGTCGAGGATAGACATGTTCCATAGAAATCATTCATTAAAATCCTTTCTGTTGTGATGACAGTGTCCCGCTGAATCTCCCAACACCCACGTCTCCTTTGTGTGTATGTCTTCTCTTATACCTTGCCAACACTAAATGAAAACACTTTGGTTTTTTTAAACGTCTTTGATAGACTGGTGTCTGCTGTGAATAGAGCCTGCTGTATACTTACTTATGTTGCAGAGACAGTCTACTGTGGAACAGAACAGTTTTGTACTCCTTATACTTTGCAAGGGCATTGCTGAAGCTCAGACACACCAAACTGATATTAAAGAACTAGTGGTGACGAAGACCAGCTGTTGTGTCACCTCATGTCACTTGTGTCTTGGCAAAGAAGGTGCACTTGAACACACCACCAAGTAGCACACTCAAAAAGGGAAACCTGAAGATCGACAGGGAGATTCAAGATGCTAGTTAGCTAGTTTGCACATGAACAACACAACTCTGATGTTGAAAGAACAAAGGATATTTACCGTGAGGTAGCACACAATAACTTAAATGAAAGAGTTAGTTACAAACAGTTTTTGTTAAAGAGCTCAATGGCTAAAACAAATCCTACCTAATGTAACAAGTTTGTTTCACTCTCACGCCCTGTAGACTTTGGCTGTTTGTTTACTTTCCTCACTTTCATTTCTCTTCTTGCTGAACTGCCAGTCAGATGGATTTCGCAGACTCCGATTCTACATGCTGAACTTGCAAAAAACAGCTGACAAAGGCCGACTTGTGCTACGGGCATGGGATATACAGCAAAACCAAGGGCGACAGATGCTTACCGGTGACCCAACATTGACCAACAGTTGACCATCACTTGTGTCAGGGCTATTAGGGCCTCTTCCAGATATATAATTGTACTTTATAAGCATTGCACAAAGCAGTTTGTGTTATTGTTTTCTTTAGAAACAGAGACCAATGAGTCCTACTCTGAAAACCAGAAAACATTTGATGCCCCAATATACAGCCATGGCTGAAACACTATCAGAATGCCTGTAGCTAGCTAAAAAGTAGATTTCAGCATGTCAAAAGATTAATTTATCACCAGTGTGTCCTCTTGTCCTTCCTTTCCTTATCTTGGAGAAATGATCCCACTGAATGGCCCAAAGTGGAATACTTTGATACTGACGACTATTTGATCGGATTGCCAGATTATCATTCAAACTAACAAAGATCAAAATCAGCCCCAGTTTTTTGGTTCAGCAGCTTCTAAAAACTGAGTTCCAGGTTTTTTACCCTGTTCGTTGTGCATCCCTTATCTTTCCATACCTTCACACAATGCAAAGTCAGTGAAGAGGGCTGCAATGCTTTCCCTTCTCCAGTGGGCGGGACTTAATTGTGCTGTCTCTATAGGGCCCCTACAGTTTGTCTAAAGGGCAATTCCTGATGTATCCTGTAGGCGATTTGACAGCTTTTAACACCCTTCTACCGAATTGAGTGGGTATGATTGCTCAAAAGATGTTCTGTGCTTTATCTCGTTGTGGCGCTTCACATTGCTGCTTTTGTCACAACAGTCTCTGATGAGACATATGATGAGACACACCGGTTGAAACTCCCCGTGGGATGAATATGAGAGTGTGTCCATTCTTGATTAAAGCTCTGGTGTCACTGTCTGCTCTCCTCTCTTTAGAAAATGCCATGTGAAATTACTTTTCTCTGACTCTCTTATTTCACCCACTGTTGTCGCTCATCTCGTCTCTCCTCTGTGCGTGTAGTTACCCACTTGCGTCCTAATCAGAATGCGTAGATTTGATTGACAGAGTAGCATCACGTTCTATGATTTAATGTATGCAGTTGGTCTGGGAGTTTCCTTGTTGCTAAAGCAGTGCTACAAATGCTGCACCGATTAAAATAGAAATGCTCAAAATGTAATGTCTCAGTAATTTATTGGTTATAGGTTTGAGTCCAGACTGAGATTCCGTTCAATCCAAACCTGGGGGAAGTTCACAACGGGGATGCAATTTAGTCATTTTGGTAACAAGGGGGATGCGTCCCCCCTCATCTCCCCTCAAATCGCCTACTGCAGAAATACACTAATTTGTGCAGATATTGGCTTCAGTGCACTGCTGTCCACATTTCCCCAGTGTCCAATCACAACTCGACTACATCATGATGTGGCCCTGCTCGCTGACAGGCCTAACTGCTTCCAGATTTTGAATCCAATTAGTTCCTCAGAACTTGTGTGATCAGATGATCAAAGTCGTACTGAAAAGACAGTTTTTGTGTCTGCAAGGTTTTCCTGAGAGTCTTCTGGCAAATTCTGTGTATGTGTGTGTGTTTGTATGCAAGAGACGTTATCCGACAGTGCTGCAGGCCATTGTCCAGCTACGTGTGAGTGTGGGTGTTCCACCTTGTAAAAAGCAATTTTGGACATTTGTGTGATTTATGTGATGTCAACCGAGGGTCCGTCCTCACAGGATCTCAGGAAGTAGAAGATTGAGTGTGTAAAGTGAGTTGTATGTGTCTCGGGTATTTCGGACTATTGTTCAGCTGCATGTGCACCTTTGTCAAGTTTTAGGGGAATTCTGAAAAGAAACAGCTGAGTACAAACTCCAGAAAACAACACTTGCAAATGTGCGGATACCAGGAGACTCACTCACCACTAATGAGCAGATCTCTGTTTTGAATTACTTTCATAGCCTCTCCTCATAATGAGGCCTTTGAATTGCTCTAGTAAATATACTGTTGGAGGGCTTTATTTTTAATATAATGAACAGATTCAGTATTCATATTGTACTTTGCTGATGGTGAATATCAGCAAATGAATTTCTTTTGACTATTTTCCGGATGAATTTTATTCATCTGTCTCTGCAAAGACTCTCTAGACTCTACACAGAGACTGCTTAGAGCATGAACAGATTATCCATCACTCTGAGAAATAGGCTTTTCAAACAGCAACATTGTAAGATTTTTTTTTCTGGTTCTTACACCATTACTGTATGTCTCAAAGCTGTCTTTGATTGTTCATTAAAAGAGGTCAAGTTACAGCCTTGTTTTTAGAGCTGATCTTCTCACTTTGTTTTATTGAGGTGAACTGACTGCGTTGGAGCGCTCTCAGAAGTTTGTTACTTTTGTTCAATAAACTCCACAGACAGACTTGCAGAAAGAAGATCAAGATCTAAACCAAGAGGGACAAACCCAAACAACCAAATGCTGCACAAGTTTCACTGAGACACACATGAATAAATAACATAAAAACACAAACATATTCAAGCAACTTTGCAGTACATAGAGTGACAGACACATAGAAGGGGAGAGGTTTGAGAGAGGCGCACACACAAGTGCACGCTGAGTTTCCCTGCCAGTGGCTGCGTCGGGGGATTGGGTGTGTTGCTGCTCTGGATCAGAGTGACTGGTTTTGACTTGCTGCTGGACCAGACTTCTCTCATCTGAGTCTTGTGCTCTTTTGGATGAACGCAGCGTTGGAACAGACTTCACCATGTGCTGCTTTTTTTGAAAAAAATCCCCTTTCCCTTTTCTCCATCTGTTTACTCCTTCTGCTGTTTATCGTTTGCAACAACAGGCCTTGTCGGTGCCATCCTTCATCTTTCACTCTTATATTCTATTGTTTCTCTCATCGTTTGTTTCTTCACTCTTTTCCTCCTCACGTTTGTCAGACCATCCTTCCTTTCACAGTTCCCTGGAGGCACTCTCAGGGTTTTTGTTTCCTTGGAAGTAACTACATATTTTACTAGAAAGTCCTATCCAACCTCCCTTCCCTTTTCACATATTTTTTCCTCCCCCTTATTTTGTGACTGACCTTGCATTTGGCTGTAGATTCAGTACATTCCTACCGTCTGTCCTATTTAGCCCGTCATTGTCTGTCCTTTCAGCCGCTCATTGTCATCCATAGAGCCATGCTGCTACCACAGCTCCATGGATGACAATGACTGCCTGTCAGCTGGTCGCTCCGTCACTTTGGTCTGACTGAAATATCTCAACAGCTATAGGATGGATTGGCATTAAACTTTGCATTCATGATCCCCAGAGGATGAATCCTGCTGACTTTGGTGATCCCCTGAATCCTCTTCAAGTGCCGTTATGAGATTGGCATTTGTGGTGTATAGTGTGATATCTATAGAAATAGAGTATAGGTAAAGCAGATATTGAATTGTTTGCTGTGGTGACTTTACTAGTTGCCTGCTGCCTGGTAAGACCATCCTGATGACATGAGCTCAACATTCTCTTTTGCTTTATCTATCATTCTGGGCTCGGTGCCACCCAAAACACTTTCAGTAGGCAGGAGTACTAACCTTGACAGACAAACTCCTTCAGCCAGTCAGCGCAATAAAACACCGGGAACCTCTTCTTCATCACAAACGGAGCCAGCTGATGAACCAAGCTTTGGCCAAATCCAGTCAAAAGAGCAGCGAAAACTTCTTTTCTTTCAAGAAACTCTCTATTTCTGCATTGACTTCACTTATTGCTGTATTTTCTAACTTTAGAGTTGCATTTCTTGCATTACTGTTCTGCAGTCTGGGTCTGCTTACGTTGTCAACTATGGTGTGGATCCCTGATTTGCCCTGATTGGATTTTAATTTCTGGAAAGTGTTTTGGGCGGCAGTGAATCCAGACTGGTACAGAGAGCAAAACAGAATGTTATCAGGATGGTCTTACCAGGCTAGCTGCCTACAGGTTCAACAGCAACCGAGAGAGTGTACAAAAGATATCCCTTCATGCCTCATACTACTCCACTGAATGCATTTGGTCATCAGTGCGAAACCTCATGTCAGTAAATCGCTACTTGCCACAAGTCTGTTTGTTTGTTCGGAAGT